CACCGGTGATATATGCATGGCCGGGAATGATTTTCCGTTTACAGGATTGTAGTGCAGTGCAGTGCACTCACCATTACACGAACACACAAAGGCACATCTCATCCTCTGGTTAGTCTCATAGATCACAAAGACAATTGATGTGAGCAAGCATCTGATAAGGCCGCCACGGGGCACAAGAGGATGGTTGTGGCTTAAATCAAGCTCGGCTGCCTTTGTCTCCCCAGCACTGATATTTACACACTGCATCAGGCACTCATTGAAAGTGGAGTCAACATAGAGAAGGCCCAGGCCTGGCTCTGATATCGGTCTCCACTAATATTAGCCTTGGCCAGGCATCAAACTCAGGTGAATCGTTGTGCAAGCTACTGCACCACCATGCACCAAGCAACAACAGCCGCCATTCACCACAAACTAACCGACGGGGACGTCACCAAAGTGCTTGTGCCAGGCTAGGTGCACTCATATGAGGTGTGGAAGTCGCAGGATTGACCCAGGTGTTACGAGCGATGCACACGACCCCACGCTCACCACTGTGCGCACCTCTCCCGTGTCCTGGCACCACAAGCACACAGCGCGTCCACACGAGGAGAGGTTCGTGGGATCTCTGCCCTTTGGCACGACACCGCAGCTCGTGGCAAGGAGACTTTTCCGAAAAAGACACAGCGACTTGCTGCGAGACCGTAAATGTGCCAGCGCTCGTCGCCTATGGCTCTCTTCACAATGAACCCCCTCTTTGCTAGCTAAGCATTGAATACACAGTGGAGATTGAAGGAGTACCGTATACGTTCTTTGAACAAGTGCAGGTTACTGCTGCATGGATTGCGCTGCTGTGCAACTCTTTCAAATGTGCTGTCTGGGTTGTACCGCGTGTTGTTCAGCACGATGTGCGACGTTTCGCTCCATGTGACGAGAGTTTATTCCTACCAGGGAGGAGTGATTCTTTTGAAACATCTTACGGGGGTTACCAGCAGCCCATTTTCTTGGCTGTAGTGCTGTCAATGTGTGCATTGCCAATGGCTGTGGCGAGATGTTAACTACCTCGCCTGGTATGCAGAAGGGTATGGATTCGATCGCGACCCTGACACCTGCAGTATATTTTGAGTTTGCATGTTTCTTTCCCAGTGGTCACATGGAATTTTCTCCCGGTCCTACTGTTTTTCCCTCCACGTTTAGAATCAACGTGTGTTCTAGACTTTTTGGCCGCTATACATTTCCACGTGACAAGCCACTTCGTTGAGCTATCGTTTGTGGCCAGGTCGCTGAAAAAAGAGCTAGAAAGCTCAGTCGGTATTACCTGGTAAGATAAAATTAGTTATAGTTGAGTTGGATAAAGATTCCCACACTGGAGTGTGTTCGTGTAATGGCTGGCTTGGAGGAGTAATTAATGAGAATAAGGCACTGCCACTAGAATACACGGTACGTCTATCGATAATAATTATATATTATCGCATGGCATATTGGTATGATCTTATGAATAAGTTTCGGACAAAATAAGGCAAGATGGATGTTGCCCTGCCATAATAATCATTCCCAGGACAGCGTTGATCTGTTCCAGCTCAAATTAAAGACTATTAATAGCCCGCTCTCTAATCGTCCACAGGCTAAGTTGGGGCACTTTGCATGTCTGTTTTTAAGACGGTAAATAACATAAATCTAAATGAAATACAATGTTTGTAAAGGTACAATTACTTCACTATCAATAACCCGCTATCTAGTCGCCAGCAGGCTAGGTTGGTAGACTTTTCATGTTTCTTTTAATATGGTATATAAAACAAATGTATAAAATGAAATGCAATATTTGTAAAAGGCACAATTACTTCATTTGCATTTTTGGTTGATTGCGAAGCCCTCTTTTTATAGCCACTATTCAACCCGGCGGCCGCGATGTCACGGGGGCGATTACATTGAAAGACTCGTCGTGGATTTTGAGCTATTGAGCCATTCGATATTAATAAACTGTGACATTCTCAAATCCATTGGCCAGCCCTCGTACACACACACACACACGTACACATGTACACACATAAAACGCATACAGAGAAATGGCACGCCTGAGAGAGTTGACTCAAAGGATGTGTTCCAATAATGAATTCAAGACTTTGAGGTGCATTATTCCCAACGGGCACACATCTTCGAGATTAATGGGTGCGGTTTTGCAAGATTGTATTTTATTTTATGACTATGTAGGTCATTTGCCCACCATTTTTTGCCAAGGCTCCCACCGTCATCAGCCAGCAGGGGTAGGAGACATCTCTTCCTGTGCCTTAGTGGCAGGGAAAGTCCCGATGGCTAATTTTTACAAAAACCCACAGAATGTGGCCCCTGTAATTTATGAATCTTAGTTAATGTAACAATGCAATCGATTAAATTGTTTTTTACACTCACGATACAAACATCAAATCGTCCATGTATAAATACATTTCCCATGTACATGTCAATTCACTGTTGGATGAAGGCCTCCATACAGGTCTTGCGGGTTCGTATGTCCATACTTCACCACTATCGTCATTGCCGGTTGGGGAATGTGGGGAGCATAGAAATGGCAGCAGAGTACAGCGCAACAACGGATTTTGCTGCACTGCCACCTGCCGCCAGAAACCCACACGAAAATAGATAATTTACAATTTATTATAATAGCATGCAGATAGGGGGTGGAAGAGTGGCACAGTGGTGAGTATGCTGCGCTATGAACCAGGGGACCCAAGTGCAGTTCTCCTGGACATCTGTGAAAAATTGCTTTACATCTCATCGGATTCCTCCAGTTTCTATAAATATTAAGATTCTAAATTCAAAGCCACGGCTGGCATCAGTGGCGAGTGATGGTAGCACCAGATCCCTGCCCTTGTCCCCCGTCACCAACTTGCACCGACCAGCATGGTGAAGTATGGTCAAATCCACCCCCATGACTGACACGGCGGAAATGGAGGCCTTGACCCTTCGCTGGATGCAGAATTGGTGGAATTTAATCCCATTAACTCGAGAGTAACACAGCACTAAGAGGCAGATCAAAACAAGACAAGCCAAAGAGGGATTGATTCTCGAATCGAATCACTGACCCAAAATAGCGGAAATTCAATGGCTCCTCGGATGGAGTGAGTGAATTGCGCTACACGCCCAAGGAGCAGAGACCGAGTCTAGTAAGATAGATAGAGTTCCACACGAAGAACAACACCAGCGCAAACTGAATCGATGAACCAAGACATTGAAATGTTCGCGCAGGGGTGAGCCGAGTGTCGGAGACACGGGGACGACTGCGGTACAGACGTAAAAAACACACCACATGCCAGAGAGCATCAAAGTCAGTTTAACACGAAGCCGGCTTTCACGACCAATATTATTCATAATAAAGGGGTTCTTTTTGGGTTACATCCCATGAATATAAATGTGTCGTTAAGCCACCAACACCACCACCCGACACAGCCAATTAGTGAGGTCTGTCACGTAAAACAAAACGTGCCAATTAGTTACTAGTTCCGCACACCGGTGTGCTGGAGAGCAAATCCACGACGTTTAGAATTTTTAGTTTAATGACGTTTCGCTGGTGATTACAACAGCCAGCTTCATCAGACGAATTGCAAAAAATTGTGAAGTCACCGTGCTAGACAAGCGTACGCTCTCAAGCCGTGCCTCGCAACAGCGGTTTATATATTTACTATTTGTCAAGCTAATGTAGCCAGTGCCTGGTTATTTTCGGTAAAGTAGATTTTTCTTTCTTCTTGGTTCTTTCGGTAAAGTCACGTAGAAGGGAAATAATGAAATAATAAAAATAAAACATAAAATAATTCCCCACGACGTTTTTCGCCAGAACGCAAGCAGAGGTGAAGAACAGGTCTGTCTTTCCGACAGACCTGTTCTTCACCTGAGGACGGCTGCTTGCGTTGTGGCCAAAATGTCTTAAGAATAATTTTAATATTTTAATATATTTTTATTTAATTATTTCCCTTCTACGTGACTTTACCGAAAGAACCAAGAAGATGAATCCCTGCAGTCACAAAAGCTTTAAATCGAAATTTAGATTTTTCTTTGTTCGGTATAAAACGGTAGGAAAAGAAACCTGCACGGTAGGAAGAGCGACACTCAAGACTCTAATGTACAGGCGTCCTTGTCAGAAAACTAGTTGCTGTGCTGCCACCAGCTCATTGGCCGCACATATGTCAGTTGAACTTCTTTCGCAGCTTAAGCAGTCAACCGCGCTAATCAGAGGTGCGGGAGAAGGACAACGCAATGTGTATCTCACACAAATGGTCACGGCTCGGTCTCAGAAAGATCTCCACTGCCACTACCAACAGCATCACCACTCACACGACCACCACCAACACCACCACGACCACAGTCACTAGGACAGCTATCACTGCCACCAACACCGGGACAATCATCAACAACAACCTTAACCACGACTGGAACCACGAAAGATGAAGACAAAGATCCCCCGTATAGCCTTAACAGACTGTTGGGGCAACTGCTGTTAGCAAGCACCTATGAAGGCCGGCATGGCACACAAAGGGGGTGGGTGGTCAACACCACACCCGGCTCCCCAGTGACGATGTTACACATTGCACCAGGTGCTCATTTGAGGCTGAGTCGACCTAGGGGAGGCCCAGAACCGGTTCAGATAATCGTCACTGGTGTTGGCCATGAGCGCGAAGCAAAGCGCAGCGCGCTACATTACTGTTACATTACACGACCGCTCTTCAACCACCAAAGATGAAGACAAAGATCCCCCGTTTAGGCACCACCATGCTCACAGTCACCACCATCACCGCCACTACCTCCACCACCAAATCCACCACCACCGCTAACACCACCACAACGCCCATGTCCATCACCAAGACCATCACCATTATCACCACAACCATAACTGAGACCCTGCTGCAACCATTTCCGGTACCACTGCAACCGCCACCAGCGTCACTACCATCGCTATAACCACCAACCATCATGCCCACCACCATCTCCATCTCCGCCACCACTGTCAGCACCACCACCCTGGCTGGGCCCACCTTCTCGATCTTGGCATTCCTCCGCGCCTTGTAGACGAACTCCCCGATGGCGACGAAGACGGAGAGGACGAGACCGGCGGCGAGCACGATGAAGATGCCGCCGATGTTCTGCACGCCCAGAGCGCTCGCCTCATTGCTGTCTTCCTCGGGGCAGCCATTGCCACGCCACCACTTCTCCTTCATCATGTGCAGCTTGCCCTCTTCCTGCAGCTGCAGGATGGCGATGGTGATCTTGTCCCGGTACGGGGAGCCTGCACCGAGCGCGGCGCAAACGCAGCGCAACGCCGCCGGCGGCAAGGGTTGGATTTTTGGTGCGGCGACAACCCTCCTGATCTTACGAGCGGCGCAACAAAACACACACGGGGCCTGGAGCCGCAAGACGTGCGCAGCGGGAGCGCGGACGATTCACCGGCCCGCTGCTTGGCTGTGGAGTGTTACATTTACAAATCTGCGGGCGCGTCCCGGGAGTAACTCGTGTCTCGCCCGAGCAGCATGGGCTCGTGCCCCCGGTCATTATTGAACAACTTCGTGAGCATCACCATTGGCCCGGTTCAATACAACACGTAGGCTTTCGCGACCAATATTATTCATAATATAGGTTTTTGGGTCAGATCGCGTTATTTATAAATGTGTCGTAACCCTCCACCACCCGACATGGCCAATCAGTAAAAAATGTGTCACGTTTTCAAAGGACAAATTAATTGACTTCTTTAGCCCACCGGTGTGCTGAAGAGAGAATCAAAAGCATTTTAAAATTTGAGTACGACGTTTCGCTGATAATTACAATCAGCTTCATCGGGCAAGAATGGTGAAGCTCTCCTGTTAGTTCCGGTCTTAAATAGAGCAGCATCAGGGTGACGTCATCATTTTGATTCAATCCAATCTGGTGCAGTGATTCGAGGCAAGGAGAGGGAGGGTATTGCAATTATATATATTGGTAATCATTCAATTGTTATTCATTGGTATTTGTTTTACTGATAAGTAATTGTAATTGTATTTATTTGATAATACGCTTGGCCCGGTTGGCTACATATGGTGCAAAAGAAGTTCAACATACATATGTACATCAACGAGCAGTGTACCTTTCAGTAACTCTAAACATCTCTCTTTATATCACAACTGCATCTTCACTGTCTCTTTTTGTACGTGCTTTTATTCCCACACCTCCATTGTCTTAACAGCATGCGCTCAACTTCTCCCCCCACCCCCCCCCCCAAACGTGACGTTATCTCTCCAGGTGAAAAATTCCTACGTATGTATGTTGGTCTTCTGTCGCACCATACATAACCAACTGTGCTAATCGGAGGTGCGGGAGTAGTAAGTAAAAGTGGGTGCCACGGTGACGAGATGTTAACTATCTCGCCTGGTATACAGGAGGTCGTGGGTTCGATCCCGACCCTGACACCTGCTGTATATTTGGAGTTTGCATGTCTCTCTCCCCATGGTCGCATAGATTTTTCTCAGGGTCCTCCGCTTCTTCCCTCCACATTTAGAATCAACACGCATTTAGAGAATTTAGCTGCGAAACATTTCCATGCTGATAAGCCGATTCGTTGAGCTTCCATTTGTAATAATCAGTTCGCTTCTGAAAAAGAGCTGTATAGCTCAGTGGCACCTTACCTGGTAAAATAAAATACTTTTAGTTTATGTATACTCAAGACAACCACTGTAACTTCCCCAAAACGTGGTAAATAATTTTACCGACTTTACAGGAGTGATGGCCTAAATCAACACCCAACCAGGAGTTGAACTGACACCCTTTTAATTTCTGAGCCATTTGCTGTACCGCTGAGCCACCGGGCTGGATATTTTCTTTCGCGTCAAGGAGCGTCATACCAAACGCTGTTCATGAGGACCGTCCTTCTAACCCGGCATTGCCCGCTGGGTTGTTTTAGCCGGCTGTCCTCGGAAACATGTAGGTCTTCCCAGGACATTAAACGAAAAAATACATATATTTTCGATTTAAAGCTTTCGTGACTGTAGGGATTCATCTTCTTTCGGTAAAGTCACGTAGAAGGGAAATAATAAAATAATAAAAATAAAACATAAAATAATTATCACGACGTTTCGGCCACAACGCAAGCAGCCGTCCTCAGGTGAAGAACAGGTCTGTCAGACGCTGTCTCCCCGACAGACCTGTTCTTCACCTGAGGACGGCTGCTTGTGTTGTGGCCGAAACGTCGTGATAATTTTTTTATTATGTTTTATTTTTATTGTTTTATTATTTCCCTTATACGTGACTTTACCGAAAGGACCAAGAAGATACATATATTTTGTTTAAGCAAGTGAAAAAAACATGTAACTCCCCAGGGGAGCTCACCCAGTGGCGTGCCGATGCCGTAGCCCTTGTTGTCGATGAGTCCGCCGATCTGCGTGAGATTGCAGTTGCGCTGAGTCACGTACTCGATGTTGGTCGACTCCATGAGCATCGCGTAGTCCGTGGTGAGGACGCGCTGGATGCCCTCTTCGTTGTTCTTCATGAGCGCCGTCTGGCGGCTGCTCATGAAGGCCCACATCTTCTCGTACGTCGAGATCTTGGATTTCTGAGGGTGAGAAATAAAAGCGCAAAGCAGATCGCGGCGGGCTGGCGGGCCACCGAGGCGGGCGGTCGCGTTGTGGGGCAAAGTGTGGGCACTCCCTGCCCGCCTCTCCCGAGACATCCGGCTAGCGTGGAGAAGCAGGCCACATTGCTCTCTGGTGGAAGAGGCTGTTCGGCCGGCAGTGGGCACGAGCAAGCCATTGAAGGGCTGCACCTTTAGAAGCTTTAATAGTGGCCAAATTACGTGTTTGTTCTTTGCCCACATCATGGTCCCGTATCGCAAGAGTCGAGGAACAAATGGGTCTGGGACGTGCTTACTGCACTGTCCCTTTTCTTAATCCACTGCTGCGTGATGGTCTCCCCACACCGCGTTATTTGACCATACTTCACCACGCCGGTGAGTGGCGTACTGCCTTCTACGAAGAGAATCAGAATATGTATGTATGTATGTTAGAGGAATCCGATGAGATATGTAAATCTCTTTTTCACAGATGTCCGGCTTATCACACGGAAGGTAGAAGTCTCACATCGGCTCCGTATCCTAGTAAATCAACAACAACGACCCCCACCCCCGGCGTGGCACCACATCTGCACCCCACCACCACCGCCGCCGCCACCACACTCAGCCATAAAAAAGATGTAAAATACTACTCAATCACTGTAACTCTAATGCGGGAGCTCATCAAGACTCATTAATTAATTCAGCAATTTCCATCTGTGAGATTGTAATAATATAAATAATAATTCATAGCCTGTGGGATGAAGGTCTTCTCCCCATGCCATGCCGGCCCTGGGACTTGTTTGGCCGCACTTCACAATGATGGTTCGTGCTCGTCGGTTCGGAGACTCGTTCAGATATCAACCACCACTGGTACTGGCCATGCCCCCCCTCTCCCCCCCGTAAACTCCTGCAGCCACGACTCTACAACCCCCCCATGCCTATATAAAGCCACAACAGCAGATCATTATTTCTCACCTGATGACGGACGCTTATGTTGCGACCGAAACGTCGTGTTCTTTTGTTGTTATTTTTTCAATCTACGTGACTTTACCGAAAAAACCAGAGAGCATGGCCAGGTATCAAACTCAGATCGCCGTGTTCATAGCGCCACAATGCTCACCACTGCGTCACCGCTCCACCCGTGCAATCACAGCAATGTAATTTAAAAGTTTCTCCATGCCTAAAAATAAAAAAATAGGTAAAAAAAAATAGTTTTGCAAAGCACACACTTTTATTTGCACTCAAAAGTAGAAAATTAATTATTTTGACCCCAGAATTAATCAAAGTTGATGATTTGATGTGTTTAATAAAAGTGGGTGGCTTGCATAAAGAAAATTAAACACATCGAAAGGAAGCCACCCACTTTCATTCAGCACGTCAAATGTGATAAATTCTGGTGTCAAAAGAATAGATTTTCTACTTTTGAGTGCAAACAAAAGTGTGTGCATCGAAAAACTAGTTTTTTTTTACTTAATTAATTTTTCCCATGAATGCTATTGCAACAATTTAACTGCTATTTTATTTGACCAGATTAGGCCCACTCGTGCTATGTAGCTCTTTTTCAGAAGCGACCTGGCCACAAATGATAGCCCAATGAAGTGGCTTATCATGTGGAAATATACAGCGGCTGAATTATCGAAGGACGTGTTTCTAAATGTGGAGGGGAAAAAGCGGAGGTCCCTAAGAAAAATCCACGCAACCACGGGGAGAACATGCAGACTCCAAGTATAAAGCAGGTGTGAGGGTCAGCATGGAACCCACGACCTCTCCTGCGATTTGCCACTGCGAGATGTTAATTGTTAAGAACAGCATCAGTATAACCCTCAACGCTTATGAACATATCATCCGGACTTGGAATGCGCCCGATCTGGTCGGACCTCGAAAGCCAAGCAGATCTGAGCTTGGGCAGTGCCTGCATGGGTGCCCAACCATGCACAAGCAAGTTGTCATGGGGCTGTGGGGACACGTTGTATTCATATCCAGTTGTGCTGTATGCCTTTACCAATCCCCACTGACCAGCCGGGGTGAAGTATGGTCAAACGGCCTCCACAATCAGCACGGCGTGGAGAGGCCCTCATCCAGCAGTGGATTGACAAAAGGTCTAGGTGCTCTTACGGGCATTGTGCGGCGCTCATCTCTACCAGTGGAAATTCCACATTCCCATGGCAGGGACAATTTTAACAACCATTGACGAATTTGCACAAAGAGGTACCTATTTTAAGACTCTGTAGCGATGAAAGTGATGGCTTTCCTATGTGAACCCTTGACCCTACAATAATTGAAAGCATGAGCATTGCTATACAACAGTCTACGTAATGAAACGACATCACGCAGCACGGCTATTACAATTAGAATAACGATCACCCCGATTGCAAAGTAGTGAAATGAAATTAAGACCAACACGATAAGAATAACACGCTTAATCGTAGTTGCGGTCATTAAGTACTGTACTGTATGAAAGATGGTAAGACACAGACTGCAGCGATATAACAATACGCTCATATGCAAAGCTGCGCATATCGCGAGACCGTATTCAACATGCACCGAATTAGCGCTTTAAAGCGTTTCTATGAACAATCACAATGAGGACATCTTGCCAATCAAAATAGGATAACAATAGGGCATTTATATAACTTCGCTAAAATGGGGTTTGGAGCGCAGTATGATAAGCCACTACCGCGAGTCACCAACGTTCCCGCGTAAGATAGTGCAATAGACACACATGAACACGTTAGGGACAAAAATAGGTGAGCCAGACGGGATAAGCATGAGACAAGGCAGATAGATTAATAATATACAAGCCGCGGCAAGGCAGCGGAAAACACATTTAAGTGCCACCGGTGTCTGAAGACAAGGCGACGGTGAAGGGAGTTGACATTAAAAGGTTTTAAAGCAATGGCTAGGGCCAGGTGTGTACACCCATTTTCATGACTCCGGCTGAATCGTACACTCGGGTTAACCCGGGTAATGTACAGACGAACGCGCATTGACCAAACACTCCAGCATGCGCACCGGTTGTGATGAACGAATGTTAACAAGTGGCGTTGATTGTCAGACAATTGGAAATTGGCGTTGGATTCCAGTGGATGAATTTAATTCTCAGCCAACGTGCCCGTGTATTAAATATGTGTTTTAGATTCTGAAAATCAGTAAGGAGTACCCAGAGAAAACCCAAAAGTGTACACTGTTAGGCCTTAAATGTACTGCAGTATAAGTATGACACGTCTCTACACTAAACTAGGTAATAGCTTAAAGATAAAGGCGCCGCCCTGCAATTGCATGCTCGTGCCACGACTGGCGAAAGGGCGTTCAAAAGAGTGAACTCGAGCGAGCGCCTCTAGATGGTGCTTGGTCTACTCTGCCGTACTCGCCAGATGTCTCACAAGAGGTGAGAGCACCCACACTTTATCCTACGACCGCACGTGACCTTCCTATCAAAGGTCACGTGTTGCTGGGTGGAAACGTGTCCGTTGTTTCAACATGCTGCGCTGGAAAAATGGGATTCAAACCGGTGCGCTGACCACTTCCACAACGGCAGCAGCTCCCAGGGACTTTATTTGACTGAGGTGGGGTGGAAACCCTCCATTGCAATGAACCGCACAACACTTGTCCATCCCCACACACACGCATCCGTCTTTGGAAGGACACTGCCATCCACTCTCATCAATCCACGCAAAAGCCTTGCTCACACAAAGTGAGGTCAGGGTTAATCGCTGATATCGCTTTTACATACCGAACCTGACAGCCAAACGCATGGACGCCGGTAAGCCAGAAATTGGCCACAAAGGGCTCTTCTTGTACGGGCACGTACAGGCCTTTTGTCAATCTACTGCTGGATGGATGTATGTATGTTGGACTTCTTTCGCACCGTACGTAGCAAACCGTGCTAATTGGAGGTGTGGGGAAGGGCATCAAACTGAACACAAAAAGCAGTTCTAAAGAAATTAGTTTTCAATCTAGATTTGGATGAGGACCTCTTTAATGCAGTGCAGGTCATGGGGGTTATTTAAGCTTACATCGTGTTACAAACCTGCTGATCCTAGTTCAATTCCCCAGCCATAGCTGACATGAGTGGAGAATATCTGAACGAGTCTTGAGCCTCCCCAAGGTCGACTCAGTCTTGAATGAGTAGCCGCTGTGGTTGTGTAAAGTTCAGCAAAGTTCAGGCAAAGGTGGCCAAGCTTGGTCCTGGCCATACCACACACCCATGTGCCTCGCCGGCTTTCATATCTGCTCGCTAACAGCACTTGCCCAGTCTGTTTGGCTACAGGAGGATGTTTGCATTTTTGTAGACACACAAAAACATTCACTGGCACTGCATACTAATTAGGAGGATTTGCCTGTCTTAGGAGCAGTGGCATAGTTATTAGCGCACTGCATTATCAACCCAGAAAAACTGAATGTAGTTCCTGGCTACTCCAATAAATTGACAGAGCGAGGGACAGTGTTTATCCAGCAGTGAATTGAAAAGGCAATGTGTTTCCAAATGCCAAAGGCAATCTCCTGCTGGATTGACGGCATTAATCTGCGTAAATTCTCTGATCCACGTGTTCCACTTTCTGTCTGTAACTTTAAATCCAAGCGTGCATGTCTCCTTGTTTTGTTTTTACAAACTTTTCTGTTCAGCACATTCTTTTTCATCTAAAACCTTGTTTTCTAAACAGTATCTCATATCAAATAGTGAGCACTGATTAAAACTACAATATGATACAGCACAAAATATGAAAAGAAAAGTGCAACAATATACAGCTAATATCAAGAGTAACTTATTTTTGGACAGGGTTTATTTTTTTGTTTAACAAAGACAGAGAGAGGATTCTTATGCCCTTGTCAAGGCCACAAAAATGTTGTTATTCCCCGCTGCGTCTAAAACGTGCTTTATAAGCATTCATCAATGTCAGCAGAGACAACCAACGCCACACTACCAAGTGTGTGTGTTTCAACTGTCGACAGATTCCCCACCCCCAGCATCTTCGTCAGTGCACCTGCGGTGAGGAGGCAGG